ACACCTCGTTAATCCCTTTTTTGTTCCTATTACTTGGTTATGGCTTATTAAAGATCACACTTTCTGTGTTTGCAGAAGTACTTGTCTGATATCTTATCAGTCTTGGCCCTTACTATGTCTGCCGAGGGGGAAAGGGTATGCTTCTATCTACTGATTTCTTTCTGATCTGCCTTAACATAGCTGTTATTTATGAGGCATATTTGAACAACTATTATTCAATTTGTTTTACAATATTATTTCAGGAAGGCTTAAGTTATAGGTTGATTGGAACAGAGGGGAACATTGGATCGTGGGGTCACGAATATGTCAGGAATTTAGCGGGAGAAATTGCCCAAGAGTATACTAAGCGTCAGAGTGAGGAGGCCCCTATTGACGATTTAATGGAGCTTGTGCAGCAAATTGTTGCTTTTCACATGAAGGTGAATTCCTAACGATGGTTATTTTTCTTGCTTCTCTGTCCCTTGTCGTGCATAAGTGGAAATTTTATAATTTATAGGCTTAAGACTAGCACCTTTGTTTTTTTGTCTAAATGATTTCATTTTATTCCCTGCAGCATTATGCAGAAACCGAAGCTGTTGACCTTTTAATGGATGTTGAGGATCTTGATCTTTTACTTGAGCATGTAGACAAAGCAAATTTCAAGAGGATGTGCAACTATCTCACAAGTGCAGCAAAGTACTTTTAACATAGTCAATCCTATTCATTCACTCTTATTTGTCTGTTTAGACCAGTCATATTGTTATTTTACTGATCTTGTTTTAGTTCAGTCATGTTGAAGCAAGTGGTGAGCTTTGTGCTTATGAAAGTCTCTTTGACGACTTATATATTTGAATTTTCTGGTACCTTCCTGGACCAGATGACATGTTGGTTTTAGATATTTCCTACATGATTCACATGAAGTTTGAAGAATATCCAAACGCTCTGCAGATTGCGTTATTTCTTGATAATACGCAGGTACCCTTCTAGTCTTCCTGAAGAACATAGTATCATTTATTCTTTTTGCGTCTTGAAGCAGATGGAAAAGCAATCCTCTATGTTAAATACTTGGATAATTGGAAACCTTTTCAATGTTTAATGTGGTTTATAATATTGTTTTTTGTATTACAGTATGTTAAACAAATATTTACCTCATGTACTGATCTGCTAAGAAACAAACAGTTCTG